AAAAAAATCAAGATCTGCAACAATTTAATGTAGCACCCAAACCTCTTTGACAGGCTCCTAAATATTTACATAAGACACTTTGATTATTTGTATATCAGCTTTTCAAGCACTTGTGTACGAGACCTGTGTCGTCGTCATCATCATCCCTCCTGGACTGCATCTTCCTCTTCCTGCCACGTCGTCCCTTTTTGGGTGGTGGAGTTCCGTTTTCTTCTAAAGAAGCATCACCTGTACAGCTGTCAGCATGACGTAGCATCGTGTTCTGTGGAGCAAAAACACAGAACCGTCACACCTCTGTGACACACGCACACAAACAACCCTCTCATGTGTGCACTATGATCTCAAGGGTCAGTCCTACCCTGCGAGTGAATGTCTTGCTACATTTGTTGCAGACGAAGGCAGTGGGGGTGAAGTTAGGATCGTGGTAACGCTTGAAGTGCATGTCCAGGAGCTGCTTCTGACGGAAAGTTTTGTCACACTGGCTGCAGGCGAATGGCTTCTCCCCTGTGTGCGTGCGCTTGTGCATTATCATGTGGCGTTCCTGTTGGGTAACAGAACAAAAGACATTTAACGTTTGTTTAGCAGTAAAATAAACAGCAGGAGCATAACGTATTCCAGCCCAACACGGACCTGTCTGCAGCAGTAGTCACACTGGTCACATCTGAAACGCTTCTCATTCTTGTGAGTCTTCTGGTGCTGAATGAGAGCATAGCGCTCATGAAACACAGCATCGCAGTAACGACATTTCTTCCCCGTCTCAATAAATGAATGCTGTTTTCTCAGGTGAACACCTAAGATGGAGACAAAGGCATAAAAATCCAGTCAGATAAATGTCATATTGCCTTGTTATAGAGATAAAGACTCCCTGAAATATTCTGTTTCACAACACAGGGCAATCCACTAACTGAGAGCAACATGTTTACGTTCCTTTAACTGTCCTTTTGCATACAGTTTGAAGTAGAAATAGTCTCAAATCACTCACCAAGATCACTTTTACGTGCAATGACAGTATCACAGTGTGGGCAGTGAAACTTTGCCACATTCTCTGTGTGTTTCTGCAGGATGTGCATCTTCATGGTGCCGCTTTGTGTGAAACGAGCATGGCAGATGTAGCACTCGTATGGCTTCTCACCTGCAACAGAAGAAGACGAGTCAGTTACTCTCCTAAAAAACTGGAGCTAAAACACACTTTGACTGAAAATCTAAGGATTTTACCAGAGTGTGTCCTCATGTGTCTCTTCAGCTTGTAAGTGTCTCTGCTGGCATAGCTGCAAAGACTGCACTGGAAGGGTCGCTCCCCTGTGTGAGAGCGGATGTGCCTTTTCAACTTGCTCACCTGGGAAAAGAGACACATTAGCCTTATTCCATGGTATAGAGACCAGGTTGATGCCCAATTAAATAACTAATATAACTCACCTCGACACTGGAATAGTCGCACATGGAGCACTTAAAAGGCTTCTCGTGTGTGTGCTTGTAGCGACGATGACGCACTAACTCACCGCTGGTCACAAACGCCATGTCGCAATCTGTGCATTTATGTGGCCGAGTGCCTTTAAACGAAGAAGAAAATCAGAACTGTATATTAACTGCTGGTGTAGCTGAAATCTGAAATACAACACTGGATGAAAAGGAGATAAATGCCCACTAACTTTTGCAGTAATAATAAGTAAACACTCTGAAAGTTTACTTCCTCGCTCACCAAGTCCATCCAGCAAATTGTTTCCGTTTCTGTATTTTCTCCAAATACCTGTGTGTGTGTTGAGGTGGTTTCTCAGCAGTGTGACTGTTCTGAACGCTCTCCCGCACAAGTGACATTTATGCGGCCTCTCATCTGTGTGGCTCTTCATGTGTCGGTCCAGGTTAGAGCGCCGTGGGCAGGTGTAGCTGCACAGCTCACACTGGAAAGTCTTCTTAACACCTGGACACAGAGATGTTCAATTTAGCACTGGGAAAGAAGAAGAAAAAAAAATCTCTTGAAAGTTTTCGTGTAACTTGATCAAAGTCTAACCTTTTTTCTTGATCTTTGTGGGTTTCGGGGGCTTCATGTTGCCCACAACCTTCTCAGCATTAACCTCTGACAGCAGTCCCTCCTGCTGCTCTTCCTCAAAGTCGTACACAGAAACATCCATGTCACGATCGCCTTCTGCATAGCGCAGGCGACTCTTCTTTCCCTTCTTTGCTTTACGGACAGCAGTAATGGGCTGGTAGTCAGGGTCCTTTGTCCACTCTGGGTCGTCTTGCGGGGGCACAGAGGTCTCCACCTCTGCTGGCTCTTCCTCCTCCTCCTCCACCCTTGTCCCTTGGAGCTCCTCGTGGGCTGCCTGGAGCTCCTCCTGCTCTACAGTCTCCACTTCACCATTTGCGCCCACTTTAACTACCTAGTGTAGGAATATGACAAATAAATCCTACTGGAACAAAGACTTCACTGAAAATCAAAGACAATCAAAAGCACCGGGTAGCCTCAAGTCATTTCTCACCTGGAAGCCCTCAGGTAAAGGAAGAGTGTGACAAATAACTGGCTCTGCATCCTTGTTAGCCACTGACGTCTCAACATAAGTAGCCTGGAGCCCGTCTACAGTTGTAGTTGTGACAGGTACCTGCACGAGCTGAAGCTGACCCAGACCTAATGCTGCACCTGCTTGCTCCTCCATGTTCACCACCTGTGAAGAGAGACTGGACTTTATCGTTTGATGGCAAAAATAAAAGACCTGACATATATAATCTGGCTAAAAAGTTTAAACCGTGCCCTTTACAAACCTGAAGCGTGATGATCTGGCCCTCATCTCCACCTGAAACTGTCATTGTGCCACCTCCCTCCAACACCTCTGTCTTCATTTGTAGAAGAGTTGGGTCTAGAGCATCCATCACCATCATCTCCATGTTACCAGCGACTTCACCCTGCGTCAAGGCCTCTCCACCCTCTGGCAGGACCTTTCCATCCGTCACCTGAGCGGACTCCATGGAAACAACCTCGGCCTCCATGGCAATGAGCCAACAAATGCGCTAAACAGAAAGAACGTGAATATCTTTAGCAAAAGGAAAGACTGGTGTGATGGAGAATTGTTTGTAACCAAAAAGTGCTTTATTTTTTTTTTTTATTTGATCCCCCCCTTCCTTTGCCCTCTGGCTAAACTGAAACAACGGGATGGCTTTCAGTAAATCCAGACATGTTTAGACCAGATGATGAAAGCACCTAGATTAACTGAACAAACAATTTAAAAAAAAATAAATCCTTGTATCAATATTTGCCTGTGCACTGAAAACATTCCCAGTGTTTGGTTTTCCTTTTCCTGAATGTGCAGTATGACAAAAAGTGCTGCCAGCAGAATACAAAACTTTTCCATTTCCAGGATATCAATTACACCCATTTAAACGGGCAACTTTAGAAAAAAAAAAAACAGTTTAGTGTGTAAAACTGTCCACAGTTTGTTTTGGGTTTTTTGGGGCTTATACACCAAACTCCGTTTCCCTTGTCTTTTACTTGGAGTTGATGTCAGATGAGCAGCATGCTGGTTTTTTTTACTTTTTAAAACAAAACACAAAATAAAACAAACAAAGCCCACCTCTGCTAGGGATGAGCGATGCCCCATTTTCACCAGGGCCACCAACTAATAACTAGAGTTTATTTAATGCCTCAACCCAACATGTTCTCTGTTTTCATTTATTTTGTGCTTTCTCATCTGAACATACATACCAAACAGCGCTCAATGCATTTTGCACAAAGTATTTTAACATTTTTCATTTACTGGTCACCATATGTGGAGAGGGCCAGCTAGCTAGCTGCAGTTGTGTGTGATGACAAGAAACCTTGTTTTTAGTTAAAGGGTTTCAAATAAAGTACCTGTTCAGATAGTTTAAACGTGAAGAAAAGTTCTCCTCTTCAACTGATCAGATGGGTTGTTTTACAAAGCACAATTAAGAGGCTACAATGAAAGTTGTCTCTATTCAGATTAACTTTAAGTTCGCCACAGGTTTAAATGTGCAAGATTTAAACAATACACTAGATTTATTTAACAGTTTTATTTATAATGTAAAACAAATCGCTTAATAAATTATGCTATAGTTTTACAGATTAAGCTCCCGGGATTTAGCTTTGCTTTTTGTGAGTCAGTAAAAGTATACAAGGGACCAATAAAAGTCTCATCTCCTGGACTTGGTAGCCCAGTAGAGACCACAGATGTTAAGACTCACCAGAGTACTAAAAACTATCATATTTAGACTCTTTACACTAAGCACGTACAGCCATTACGCAATGACACCCCGCACAAGCCAGAGTTCGAGGAGTCCGGGTCATGTAAACTAGCACCCGAGCCAGAGTGAAACTCTGGTGGACGATGCAGAAACCGTAACCGTTTTTAATAACTGCGATGCAAATGTTTAAAAGAGTCTTCATTCCTGCCTTCCAGTGGTTATCTGGTTTGGCTGAACGCTGATAGGTTATGACTGTGAGCCAGTAACAGAAATCACATTTAGTCCGATGCTTCAGGAAGCATTTGTTCGCTTGTGTGTGATTTTTTTTAATCTAAAAATCCGTTCTCCTCCGTTCTGTTTTTATCAATTCACAGGACATCGTCCAACAGATGATGTATAGTTTAATAAGCGAAATAAAACTACTTAAATACTGTCTCGTGTTAGTTGGTTAACTCGGGAGGCGCGAGTACGTCTGAAAACAGGAAACAAAGGGCACGATAAGATGGACGTCAGGCCTGAACAAACTTAAAACAGGAACACCGATAAATACAGCCATCCCTGTGCACATACATCGAAATATCGGTCAAAAACCAACAAAATGCTCAACTGAAACAGGGAGTTACATTTTATAGACGGATTTAGTGCATTTTAGATAACGATAGAGGGAGACAAACACCCCCCGCCAGCCGCCTGGCCGGTAAGCCCGACCGTGACACCTAGAGGCCGGCGACGGCTCCTACAAAAACGTTTCCGCGTTTGGAGGCAAAGTAAAAGCTCTACTTACTCCTGGTTTCTTCCTTTCCTCGTTATGTTCACTTGGAAGCTCAGCGCCTACAGTAGCTCCTTTCAGTCCTGCAGCGGACGGCCGTAAGTGCTCCGCGCCGGGCTAATAATTTTCTCCCGCTTTGGAAGAGTGGGCCTAACATACAAAATGGCGGCCCATAAGAGCCACTGCGCCTGCGCAACTAGGTGCCCGGGGAGTAAAGAGGAGGGATCGGGATGTTGCTGTGGGTGATGGGCGCCAGATTTGAATTCAGGCGTGGGCGTGGCAACCACGGAGACGGTTATTAAAAGGGAGAGGTTATTGATTAGTTTTCTGATCTGCTATCAGTTTTTTTTTTCATCGGGAGTGACCTTTAAACATTCAACAGAATCGAGTCAAGATTAGGAATAATGTTTGCTGTATTAAAGCAGTTCATCCAGTTAGCCACTGGAGGGCGGCATGAAAGTGTCAAATGGGGGTTTACAACATGCACACAAATTAAATCGTGAGTGATAGATAATTAGCTGCATAGTGTATGTAAGATGAAAAGAAAACCTATTTAGACTGTTGCCATGGGAAAGTGAGCTCCTGGACCCTAGCTTTTAGGACTTTTCAATTATAGCCCACCATTAATTATTTGGTTCAAAGGTTTTTTAGTTAACTAACACCAAACTAGAAACAATAACTATGTATAAAATATTTAAGTCATATGAAATAAAATAAAAAAAAGCAGCTAAAATTAAACGGGAAATCTTTTATTTTAGCCTTTGTTTACTAAGACTTGGAGCTGGGACCTGGAACTAAACACAAAATTAAGAACAAAAATTAAACATGAGATAAAATAAAAATAGCTAGAACACAAAAAACGACCATACAACTGAGATAGTGTGTAAAATGTAAACAAAAACAGAATTCAGTGATTTGCAAATCCCATAAACTCATATTTTATCCACACTAGAACACAGATACAAAGTAAATGTTTAAGCTGAGAAACCGCTGGAGGAACATTTTGCAATTAGGTTAATTAGACCCACGATTGGGTATAAAAACAGCATCTTAGAGAGACAGACTTTCTTAGAAGTAAAGATGGGTAGATGTTCACCAGTCTAGAATAAACTGTGTCCACAAACTGTGGAACAATTCCTGATTATTGAAAAATATTGAAAATATCTCTGAATATTGTTCCTCGATGTAAAATGTAAAAACATTGTGAATATGTTATCATCTACAGTACCATCACAAGATTCAGAGAATTTGGAGAAATCTCTTGTGTGCTAGGGACAAAGCTGGAAATCAGTACTGGATTCCTGTGATTCTGGGGCTCTCAGGCAGTACTGTTTTAAAAGAAAGTATGTTGTTCAATACACAGCAGTATATTCACAGTTTAAACCAGATATTTACGTACACTTTATGGAAAACACAAGAACATTTTTTTACTGTACAACATCAATTTAGAGTTAACTTGTTTTGTTTTGGATAAATAAATATTGAAATATCTTTTGAATTAGTTAAATGTCAGAATAAAGAGAGAGCTGTCTATTTTTTATTACTTTAATCAAATTTAGGAG